TTAGGTGGGTATAACCCAAAATCCAGAAGAAGAGTCAATTTCTAGGAGTTGAAGCTAGCACCCCACTATTGTTAAATCGTACCAGCCACCATTGTGATTGAGGTCATATCAAGGTCACTCCTCCAAAAATACAAAGTCACAGGTTACAGAGTGCTTCAATATGCAGTTTGGTATTAGTTTCCAATTGTTTATTAGTTTAAGTCTATAACAAACCCATTATTTGACGTTGATCTTGGTAAGTCCAAAATATAGCTTCATCCCAGGCCTATGAATATATGAATGCACCTGACCACAACATCTGTCCCTAGAGTATGAGAGAAGATAAGAAAGAGTGCATCAGAGGGTTCTTCTTACTGTTCACTTGAAGAAGAGTATTGGTCATAATTTTAAACAGTTTTTAAAACTAAGGTCTTTATGAAATAATTACATTTATGTTAATATACTTTCTGAGTGTACAATACATCCTTGTTAAAAACGCAAGTTGTGACTGTTAGAGGCACATCTTTCATAAGATGAAAGCAGACTTTGACCTCTGATCTATAGTGCCATACAAGGAACCAGCTTCCTGAAAATTAGGCAAAATATCCAGAAGGACATAAAAACAGATGGGCAGTACGTTATGATTTTTTATAATATGCACTAGCCAGTTTCTCAAAATCAATACCTCATGTCAACACCACATCTAACAATATCACTGTATTACTGATTTTCACTTAATTGCAGTTCGTTACTTCCATTGCATTTTCAACTGTATAAATCTTCAAATGGATGGATGTATTGATAGACAAACAGACATTCGTTTTCGGTGAAGAGTAAGCACAAAAATATATACGGTCCAGCACACCTTCTAAGTCAATGGAATCATTTTATTAAAACAGTGACATATCATTGTCTTAATAGAAGTATTGCATTTACTTAGAAGGTGTGCGGGACCATCTATATTTTTGCTTACTCTTCACCGGATTATGAATCTGTGGTTCACAGCAGCCTCTGAGTACGAGTGCACGCCACTACATGTTTGTATATAGACATTATTTTTCATTACATGCCTATGAAAGCAGTGAAAAGTGCCAGGTAGTCATGATAGGAAAAGTAACCTCACAATTCCCAGTTAAGCAATAAAAAGATTCTGAGACATGGGCAATGGCCCGGATAGGTCATAAATCATGGTGACTAAATAAATCCCCATAAAATAAGATGCAGAGTTAGAGAATTGTTTAATGCTTAGGTATCCTTTAGCACTTAGGTGGGGGCAGCTTTAAAGGGAATTTGGGTTAGGGGTGCTTAGGCTCAGGGCAACTGTCAGGGATCCGTGGGCGGCTAGGAGGGGAGGCTGTATGCCACTTGCAGAACTCACCCTCAGTCCGTCGTTGCCTGCGGTCTCCCCTCCTCTTACCTGTCGGCGAGCGGCGTCTCCTCTCTGCCGCTCGCGTCCTCCACGCCCCCCAGCGGCAGCATGTATAACGCTGCACGCTGGGAGGTCACTGAATTATGCAAACGCCGGGGTCACGTGAGTGACCCGGCGTTAAAGGAACAGTACCACAATCACAGTGGGAGGTATAGATATCCCCCACGTGTGATTGTTAATTCTGATTGGAAGTTATCCAATCAGAATTAAACCAAGGGTATTTATACTTACCTTTCCTGTCCCTCAGTGCCCTGTTGTGGTCTTGTGATACCTGTAGTGCTGTTCTCTCGTGTTGCTCTCTGGTTTCCGATTATTTGGCTCGTTATTCCGATTATCCTGTCTTCTCCACTCCTTTGACCTCGGCTTGTTTCTCGTTCTCCCGTTTTCTGGCTCCCTTTACTTGGCTTGTCTCCTGACCATTCTTAGCGTGCTTAGCCCGGCCACTCTAAGGACCGGTATAGCATCTTTCCTCTCTGTGTCCTGTTAGCGTGTTAGGTTCCGGAATCGTGACAGCAACTTGGGAATATGAGCATGAGGGATTGAAGAGTACATATAAATGATGGATACAAGTGATCAGAGTTGCAGTCCACTACACCTTGAAGGCATGTATCCCACAATCTTAAGTGTCCTTTAATCCTCCCTTAACCCTAAATACTCCATAACTATAAACTAAAGACCCTCAACCCATCAAGTGTTTTGAAGCCTACTCCCTAACTATTTAATTCCCTCAACCTATCAAGTCTTCTGAAACCTACTCCCGAACTATAAACCTAAGGTCTTCAACCTATCAAGTCTTCCGACACCTTCTTCCTAACTATTTAAAGCCCTCAACTTATTAAATCTTCTGAAACCTACTCCCAAACTATAAACCTAAGGCCGTCAACCTATTAAGTTTTCCAAAACCCACTCCCTGAATCCATCAAGTCTTCTGAACCCTCAAGCATTTTGTAAACAGCTTTAACTGGTGCATCTTTTTTCGTATGGCAGTTTAATGATGCTGCATCCATAGGCCTCAGTGTTATTATGTTGTTGTCCTATTTATTTGCAACTTTTTAAACTTGGTTTTACAAAGTCTTTTTTTTTTTTTCCTAAGATGAATAATTTTGGATAATACAACATAATAGCCCAGATACAAAAATGAAACCTTTGCAAAACACGATGACATTAAAAATAATCATAATTTGCATCAACTCTCTGTACATCTTGCAAAATATCCTGTATGGCTTGATGACCTAAAAGAGTGGCATATGAATGTATATAGGTACACAGCAATTAAGTGGCATTACCATTTACAATAATTTCAAGAGCTAAATTTTGCAGACTACGATATTCATTACAACTGTGATATTTTTGGTGGTTAACCACAGCAAAGTTAATATCAGAACACTCTTCCATATGTCTGTTTTCATCTTTTAATAAGAAAACCTACGTTGGGCACTTATCACTCATTAATGAAGTCCTTCTGTTCAAAGTATTTATTTTTTCTTTCTAAAACGTGCGGCATTTTACATTAGGACTTTGTAGATGCACTTTGCTTCCAATAATAGCACTTTCAGTGAACAGCCTGAGATATTTTGTGGCAATATGATAAAAGATTACAGGCTTTTCAGTGATTTTATACCAAAATTGTTTTTCCAGCTGCCTCTTTGGCTTGCGTAAATAAAGTATCTGAAAATAAGAGTCTTGAGCACATCAAAGTTGGGGGGAATAACCCATAGTCATCAAAGAGCCACAGTCATTTCCCATTGCTTATCTTGCCAATTCAGATAAACAGTCAGCAGAAGTGGAAAAGCCAAACCTTTTGAAGTGGCAGGCTTAGGATACCACCCAATAACCTCAGGGTATATTGGAAGGGCCCAAGCCAATTCTAAACTACGCACAGAAAATTTGGGGTTTCAAACCAAACAGATATAGAAATATAAGTTGGTTGTTACGCATTCAAAATAATCCAGTATATTTCTTGACATTTTGATATGCAGCCCGTATAATATCTGTGAAAGTAAAATCCCGTGTATTATATAAAGAATCACTCTACCCTGAACATAGCCAGCAATAAATATAAATAATATTTAACTGATCTAAAAAAAAATGTTAGCTAGAATTTGTTACACTTGTGGGGAGCAATGAATACTGTGCTAGAAGAGTTGCAAGCTAATGTAGAGTTCAAATAATAAAAAGGGGTTTCAATGGTTGCCCTTTCGCGTAGAGAAATTGCTCCGAGAAATACTAATTGATTTTTCTCTATTGAAGCATATCGAGCAACAAAGTGGCAAGTAGATTAACTCGAGTGGAATTTGTCTTGATTCGCTTTAAAAATGTTGACATTAAAATGCTCACTTTATAATAGCATGCATTATTCTACCAAGAGTGCGAGCAATTACTGCATTGTTTGAAGGATGTATGCTATATCCGCATCCTACAAGTGCTGACCGCTATTTGACAAGTCTAACTGCTTTATTTTGACCTTGTTGTAGCTGTGATTTTGTCAGCAGGTATTCCTACATTGATACGTATTACCATTACAATATATATTGATGTGCATGGGATTTTACTTCAAAATCGTATAAATGTGTTTACTAGTTTAAATCATACAAAGCTGTATTACTAATCAGTAATCACGGTTTTATATGTTAAGTTCTGTTATGCTTTTTAATTATTTGTTTTTAAAAATATTACAGCCTCCCTATTTTTGTTCACTCTTGTTATCCAATGTATTCTATTAAACTCTAGTTCGCATAGCATCATTCTAAAGTAGACATGCTCAAGACCTACTGTTGAGTAGGGGGAATGCTCAATGGGATACTTCACCTTAAAGGCAATCTGTAAGCACTGTTACTGCTTCATCGCATTAAAGTGGTTATAGTGCCTGGAGTCCCCTGGCGTCATCCTTCTATTCAGCGTCAAATTATATTTACTGTTTTAATGTTAAACACGAGTTCCCAGCAGCCCATCCCCTCTGTGCTCCTTGGACTAACGAGAAAGCATTAGCCTGAGCAGCAATGGGCGGTAGGAATTATAACCAAAACAATGAGATTAAATGTTTATAGTGCCTACAGTGTCGCTTTAACCCCTTAAGGACACATGACATGTGTGACATGTCATGATTCCCTTTTATTCCAGAAGTTTGGTCCTTAAGGGGTTAAATATTATTGGACTATTATGTTATGGTTCTTTTTTCTTTGCAGTACTACATATTGCCACTGGAGGTATTTACAATATGACACTAATTTTAATAACCTGATTCTCATTCTATAACTTTGCTGTATGCTTCTCATAACAAACTCGATCTAATATAGTATTTTCTTTCTTATTCTTAAGATGACAGTGAACATCAAACCTATCTAAGAGCAGATATTGTTGAAGGGAGAAATGGTTACTTGGAAAATGAGAGCCAGAAGACTTATGGAGTTTTCTGGCTAATCCAGATAATTACAGGCCAAACTAGATAAAATGCAAACCTCCTTTTCAAGATGAACTGATTTTTTTATTGTGTGTGTGTTTAGAACAATATATTTGGAATTCTTATGAGGTTACAAGTCATGATTTAAAAACATTGAGGTCATGCTTAGATATCTAACTTTAAGTGGATTGAGAGGGCAGTGGAATAATGAAAATGGTGGAGAGCAATCAAAAATTTGGTTAGGAGAAAAGTGGTAGTTGGTGGAGAAAGGAGGGCAAGAAGTGTAAACATGTTTACATTTCTTACCCTCCTTTCTCCACCAACTACCACTTTTCTCCTAACCAAATTTTTGATTGCTCTCCACCATTTTCATTATTCCACTGCCCTCTCAATCCACCTTCCATCAAAGGGGCATTCCACGCACCCTAACCAGGAGGGTGGGAAGTGTGAATATAGGGTTGGAGTGGTGCTTGGAGTGTTCTTATTAATATCTACACTGCCTACACAATTCAGTTACTTCTCTGCTGCAGGAAATTGGTCTCCACCTGACAAACAAAAAATTGATACGTCATTCACACATTTCTGTCTGTTTATATATGGAAACATTTAGCTACTTGGGCCACATGCATTACGTAGAGTCTATATATGCAGCAGGTGAGATAATTAAAAACTAGTTGTAAAAGAGTGGGTTGAAATGGGACCAGTGATTTTGAGACCATCAAGCCTTCAATCATTAATATTTTTGAGGCCAATAGGGACAACGATGGAAGTCTGTAGAGTAAAAATACTCAACAGAAACCACATGTTGGCTGCAACAGGTTCGGCTGGTTAGAGTATGTCAAAGTGCATCTTCTGTGCAATACACTTGAGAGCACCACTGCTTGGACATTGCATATTCCTCATGTGATGAAGATGCAATAACCACTGGCTATATTGGATCAGGAAATGCAACCGAGCTTGTCAAGAATTTGTTCAACAACATAATTTTTTGCAATGATTTTTTGTCCAAGTGGAACGCTTCCCTAACCCTTTCTCTTTTATAAAATCTTTCAAAACACCCGCCAATGTACTTATTAGCTTCAATTTCATTTTCTGTGGTGACAGTGGTGAAGCACTTTGTTCCCAGCTAGGAATTAAGAACTATTTAAATGGTAATTACATTAAAACGCCCAACTGTCTCCCAAACAATGAAATTCCCATTAGGACATGAATACCAGGACCCAAGGTTCCCAGCAGAACATTGCCAAGAGCATAACACTGCCTCCGCCGGCCAGCCTGCCTTCTTCCAATAGTGCATCCTGCTGCCATCTCTTTCCAAGGTAGAGAACGCACGCACAGCCGGCCATCCGACCGGATCTAAAAAAAAAACATGATTCATCAGACCAGTACAACCTTCTTACATTGCACTATGGACCAGTTCTAATGCCAATGTCTCCTTTGAAGTAACTTTTGACGGTGGACAAGGGTCATCACTGGCACTGTGACTAATCTGCAGCAACACAGCCCCATATGCTGTTTTCTGACACTTGTCTATCATAGCTTGCATTAAGTTTTTCAGCAATTTGAGCTACAGTAGCTCTTAGTGTGATCAGCCAGATGGGCTAGCCTTTGCTCCGTACATGCATTAATGAGCCTTGGGCACCCATGACCCTGAAGCTGATTCACTGATTGTCCTTTTATTGCACCACTTTTGGTAGGTACTAACCACTGCATACCAGGAAAACCCCACAAGACTTGCTGTTTTATGGATGTCTGACCCAGTTGACCTTATCATAGTCACTCAGATCTTTTCGCTTGCCCATTTCTCTTGTTTCCAACACATGAAATTTAACTGACTGTTAATTTGCTGCCTAATATATCCCACCACTTGTCAGGTGCCATTGTAGTGATATAATCATTGTTTTTCACTTCACCTGTCAGTGGTGTGTATGATCAGTGTATACTCATAGCCTCAAACACAATACATTACAAGTAGATATATGCACATAGATACATTTATATATATATGCAATTGTCAAATATGACAGTTTGAGATGGTTTTAGGCCTGTGGTGTCCATTCAATAAATTAATTACACTTATTTTATTCGTTTTTATTTTGTGGCTGGGGAGCAGTGGGCACCTCTTTTGTTCCTACAAGAATGTTGTGCCTACAGGCACCTGCCATGTAAATCCATAGCTAAACATGTCCCTTTAAATCACACAAATAAAGTAGAGTAAATAAGAATTTGACATAGCATAGCCCATCTGCATCTGAAATAGATATAGAGTTTGCACTGGCGTTAGACATTAGGTTATTTACGTGAGAGTGTATTTGTAATGTAATGTGGAAAGGCTTTCATCTCATTTATTGTTGTAACCTGCTTTACATTATGTCAAAGGAGAAGTATATTGACTCATCTGTCAGATTTGACTTAAGCACATAAGTGTTGTTTACGTAAGAGCCAATATATTAGATTCATACAAATGTGATGTCATTGTGGTAGTACATACTCTCAGCGCAATAATTATAGATACATTTATTTTGGGTGATTTAATTGAAAGAGAAAATAGGTGTCACAACCGCATAAGCCCTGAAATGCCCATTAAGCCTTTAGTTTCTATCATGGTATAAATACATGATCCAAGCCCTCATCTAATTTGAAAATTGAGTATAGTTATGACATGAATCGGAAATATAATGTAATGATGTTACAGTGGAAGAATACAATAAACCTTGTCTTCTTGATCTTAAAGGACCACTCTAAACACCAAATCCACTAGAGCCCACTGTAGTAATTATGGTTCCAGAGGTACTCAGGCGCTGTACCAGTGTAATTTGTCAGACGGTTTTAGAATGGTTTGGCAAATTATCTGGGTCCCCCCGGACACTTTCTCCACATACGGTCTTCTCAGAGGAAAACATATTTATCCATAGAGCTAAGAAGGACTGATATAGATCCTTAGCCCTGCCCTGCTCAGCTCTCCTTAAGGATAATCCCAGAAGCCGGGGCTGCATCCACTGGTGCTTATCGTAAGTAAGTTATAAAAACTTTCTAAAATGGTGCGACTACCTTCAGTGGGACAGCGCAAGGGCACTCCTGGCACCATAACCTGCTGGCTATATTGATTATGGTTTTTGGAGTGATTATTTACTTGGCATAGTGGTCTAAATGGTTCTTTCTCATAGCCCCCTACAGTACCAGGAGAAGACCATTACTTATTTCATGTGTGCCTTGTGTGTCTCCATTAATAAAATAGTTTATAAAAACAAGTAATATTTTCAAAACTCTAATATTGCACAATAATTACAACACAGGACTTTATTCACTTTACCTAAATTGTGGAGAACTGTCAGATTTTAGGCCAAAGCAATTTATTTAACATTTAACATTTTAGTGTTTATTGCATATAGAGGTTCTTCCTCCATGAAGTGTAGGGAATCATGTTTCCAGGGAAAGATAGTATCCATGATATTTCTTGCCTTCATCACAATGTGGTCCCTGAAGAACATATGCAACTAAGGAATGTCTACAGATTCCTGTAGATCCATTTTTAAAATCAAGTGTGGTGTGATAGGGAGATTGTAAAAAAAAAAAAAGTATAATTACTTAACTTGATGGATACTTCTTCTTTGTAGACTATATTTCCTTATGTGTGGCCATAATTCTTGGTTATCTGCGATAACATTTCCAACGTTCCTTGTCTATGACCTCTAATTCCCAGCTCGGTGAATGCACCCTACAGAATACAGGGAAATTGTAGCTAAAACTGGTGCTGTAGATGTTTGTGAATTACATTTCTCACCATGATAGTCAGGAATCATAAACCAATGGGTGGTCTTCACTATAGTGCAGTGGATCTTAAAGAGTTACTAAAGACATCATGAGCACTTCAGTGATATAAAGTGGTTATGGTTCCTGGAGTCTGTATATGCTGAATTTCTCTTTCAAATGCTGCAAATACCAAGTTTAGCCCCTGCAAATATCAAGTTTAGCCCATCTGTTGCCGCAGGTGTAACTCCAACTCCAACAGTATCATTGGGAGAAGGGGTCATCAGCCAGTTGGGCTTGCTAATGTAAATTCTGTGCAAATGTTAATGCACAGAATCTAATTCATTGGCTGAGAGCGGTCAGCTGACACTCTCAGCCAACAAATAAGTGGTAAGATTAGCATCCAGACATGCCGCTCTGCAGAAGCCGGGTGTCTTTAATCCTGCTTTAGTGGAGACCCTGCGCCCTGCAGGACCAGGTAAGAGGGAAAACGGTTGCAAAAAAGATTTTCCTCATTACCAGGAAACGGTGCTATCGCCACTATAGCAGATGCAGTTTTTATGATGGTTGGAGAAACCCTTTAAACATTTTCCAAATCCCCAAAGTATGTACTGAGCATGACATTAGCCTGATGACACATCCTTTTATTGAAAGATGACCTCAGTAACACATGTTTGTAACATAGTATAATATATAGCAAAATACATTATTTACTATAGGTTCATTAGACTCTTCCCAAAAATTTAAATACTAATGTAAATTATGTTGATTTGTGTAAGTTGTTTAGAGAAGGATCATGTCTAAATATGTTTTACGTCTCTCCCCTAAAAGTCTTAAATCCCCCCTTTTAGTATTGAACAATGTTCAGTTCCATCCCTTTGTTTTGTTTTGCTTTTTTTAAATTCTGAACAAATTTCACAGGGTATGTGTTTACAAATGGGCACTGTATTTGCCATTTAATCACTTTAATGAAATAACAGATACCCACACCCGTGCTTCCGTTCTTGGTTAAAATATCTGAAGTACTTTTCTTTTTCCGTTCTCCTTGTGGTCAGGCATTGTAAACATGCCAAGATCTATTGCCTAATGCCTTGTTTATTAAGAAAATATAGCTTACAATTGAAAAACACATTTGATCTGCAAGCATAACACTGTTTTTGATACAATTAGCTTGCAATGAGTGTTGCTTTTATGATGTTGTTTTCTTTTTAGAAAAAAAAATAGCTCTGTTTTGTTTTTGTTTGTTTTTTTGCATCTCATTTTTGAATTCCCTAATTCAAGGTATATCTGTGGTTATTGTATGAAAAAAACACCTTGGCATACGTTTGCATTTTTTTTTTAAATCTGAATATTCATGTTGACCAAATGTCATTTGCCTGTTGTATTTGTTGGAATATAGTTTCAATAGGTATTTTGTCTGATGTCTTACGAACTTGTGGTTTAGCACTATGTGTTGAGTGTTGAGTTCACAGCCTATAAACATATTCAACCGAACATGATACATATCACACATTTTGCAAAATGCAGCATTTAACGGAATCTAATAGTAATAATCTAACAATACCAAAAATAGCCAGTTGACTACCGTAACTCATGACCGTGTGCTCAGACTTATGTGCTCACTTGAAAATTTAATTTT